TAATGCATAAAGTACGTGTATTATCATGTTTAACCGAAGTACTAGTTAATTGTTATGTTTTTTTTTTTTAATTTATTTTTTTTTTAATTATCACACTATTACTCATTTAATTATTGTATCAGTACTGCGGGCTTTTAATAATAATAAAAAAAAACCTTTATGGTTACAATGAGGCAGAACTAGCCTATGTACTGTACGACTACTGTACCTAGCGATACAGTTGTACTGTCAGGTTTCTATCTTCGAAAAGCGTAAAGGTACACAATATGGTGTCATAAGAACGAAAGATGATTTTGAGCCTGAAATTGTTAAAAAATGCAGTTTTCTATTATCGTTTGTAGGGGATATCAGGATGCAGGAGGGGGAGAAGGTATCTACACCTCACCTCACTATTTTCGAAATTAAAATTTTAGGGGGAAATGGAGAAATGCAGAAATACGAACCCCCTACCCCAATTCCAACCATTTTGTTTTTTGGTGGAAAAACTTTAAAGTCAGAAATATTTAAAAAGCATAATAGAATATGTTGAATATTTGTTGCAGAAGATGGCAGGGAGACCCGGAATCGAATTCGACATTGAACGTGCAAAGGAAATGATAAAACTCCAGTTTACCATAGCAGATTATAGCAAGGGATTTTGGAGTGAGTCGTACAACAGTTTACAGACATCTCAACCTTAATGGCCATGAACCTTCTAAGTATACAGATATCACTAATCAAGAACTAGAAATGGTTGTCGATGAAATTAAGAAGTCTCACCCTAACGCAGGCGAGGTCAGTTTATTGTTTAGGTTAAACCTAACAAAGACATAAATCGTGAGGTGCCAGACAATTGAATGGTTTTGTAAAAAAAAAAAAAAAAAAAGGGACATATACGGGGTTTTTTTTGGACTTTTGAGATGCAGCAACAATATTTTTATTAATTAACATTAATCAATGTATCGAAAAACAGCTACACGACAAATTTGTTTTAAAGTGATAAATGAAATATAAAATAAGTTGACCTGCTTTTTGAAACAGAAGGTCATTAGGCCTATAAAAAAATTATTAGCTTATCACCCCCTGATTTTTATTTTCAATTAATATATTATTTTTATTTTAAAACGGTCGTTTTTTTCCTCTGTTTTCACTTGAAAATCTCAGGATTTCTTGCAAATATGTTTACTGTACTGGGAAAAACATATTTTTTTAAATATAAAGTTGATTCCACTCTTATGACTTTTTATGATAAATGTGACCCTAACCATTGATTTACTTGTGAACATTGGAAAAATGGGGGCGGGATGGAAAATATAGGGTGATAAACTAATAATTTTTTTTCATGGGGCCTTGGTAAAAAAAGTAATGTAAAATCTAATTACTGTTAATTTAAGGGGAATTAATAAAATACTGAATTTTATGGAAAATTGATACTTAAAAGGAAAAAGTAGGTTCATAAGAAAGTGTAGTTTTGCGTTTATTAAATAACTGAAAATATACGATTATGATAAATACCAGGTTTTTCCCGCACCTTGCCCTCTAAACTGAAACTTCTGCTGACGCCACCAAATACATGAACAAATAATGATAATAATAATAATAATGATGATGATAATAATAATATTAATAATAATAATAATAACGTTTCTGTCAATATCACATCGAGTTGGCCTGTTCAAATAGCCGGATCGATAGCCTTACCTTATAAATACATTAATGTCAACGTTTATGCCAAATTTTAATGTCTCGATTTTTTTTTATGTCTGATACAGGTGTATCTCATGGGTCATCTCAGATCAAGAGGTATCAGAGTTCAACGCGCACGCATTCGGAAAGCATTACAAGCTGTCGACCCAACCGGGGTACAGAGAAGACGAACTAGAACTATAACCAGACGAATTTATTCTGTTCCATGCCCGAACTACCTCTGGCATATAGACGGGACACACAAAATGAATAGGTTTGTCATACATGCCGGCATCGATGGATTTTCCATTTTTCCATTTTTTTTATTACTTACCTGCATTGTAGTGACAACAACACTGCTGAAACTGTGTCCAGATTATATGAGTCAGCGGTTGGCGATTTTTTTTTCCGTACGAAACATTTGCATGAAACTTCACTCGCGCCATCTCGGATTGACTCGGCTGAGTTTGATACGAGGAACAAGAGCAGACACTTCGCAATGTCGTGACGCTCGAGTTTTACTATTATTGTTCTTTCTATGTTTACCTACGGTAGGCCTGTGATATCTTACGGATTTATGGGATGTACGTGTGTAACTATAACTGTGACCTTCTTGGATGTTATTACATGTTAGTATAATATCAACAACAACAGCTAGTACCCCCTTTTATAAAGTGTAGATCTGTACAGTAATACCTTAGAGAAAATTCTATGGTAATACCAAAGGCTAGAGAGAAAGAGGATAAACTATAGGCCTAACTACAGACTGAGTTCGTCCTACCTAGGCCCTTCCTTCTAGGCCTAGGTCCCTAGGGTCCTAGGCTGATACCAACAGTCACGCTTCACATACAGACGTTGATTAAAATTTTGGGGGAAAAATGGAAAAAATTGAAGCATAAAATAAAAAATAGAGTGCATAAGAGAAATATTATTAAATACTAATTAAATATATCATTCCGGCGTTATTGAACTTGGCCAAACTATCCTTGTAATGTACAATTCATGTTAAATAATAATAATAATAATAATAATAATTTCAGCATTAATTACCTTGGCCTAAGCCTTGTAATACTATTTACTAGGCCTATAATTAATAACTAGCCCAAGGGGAACTTTTGTGTTATTTCTCCTTAACGTCGATTTTTTAATTATCTAATTCCTCCATTGTCTAAGTTCCCCTTACGGTAGGCCTACAAGTTGGTTTTAGTAACATAATAATTAATAATAATAATAAATAATAAATAATAATTGGTCTAGTCATGTAGTCAAGAACCTGCGGATTACTATGCCTAATATTAATATCTAGGCTTAGGCCCAATTTATACATTCATTGGTGCTCTGCCATTTTGGCAAGTCTTAGGCATCTAGTATTTTAGAGCTGCCTATTCTCAGCTCTTCTCTTAATTTGAAAATAACTGTCAACCTGTTTCATTTAATGAAGAAACGCCCCGAGAAACGCGCTTTTCCTTACTCTCTCTCTGCTTTCCCCCAGACTCCCTGTTTCCCCAGAAAACGTAGTTAGGGCCTAGGAAATTATGCAAAGCCCAGACCTAACTAAAAAATAAAAATAATAAAAAAGTTAAAATAACACTTTTCATTACTCGTGCAGCACAATCAAGTATTATATGTCATTTTAAATGACCCATTAGTATTAGCATGGTAACATCAATGTATTTTTAAAAGTTAGACAGCGACGTTCTCTCAGAAGTTGTTTTGTAGACGTTTATCTATCGATGACCTTTTGACCTCCTTAATTCGGCAATATGAGATTTTCGGGTCGATTGCAGTCGAGACGGCCCGAGTGGAGTTCCATGTAAATGTTTCGTACGGAAAAAAAAATCGCCAGCGGTTGACCGGTACGGTTTGCCTATATGAGTGAGGTCGGATCATGGTGGTGAAAATCAAGGTGTTTGGGAAAAAATGTTTGCGGAAAGAGGAGAAACAAATAACCCCGTCATTGTTGGGTCGTCTGTCCACAATGAACGGGTAGAAAGATTAAATTACGACATAAATAACCACCCATAAGGTACAAACAAGTAGGTGTATTTTTCAAGAATTAGAGCGCGATGGTTTGTTAGACCCCGATAACGCCACCGATTTATTCTGTCTTCATTATGTTTTCCTACCGATAATCAACAAACACCTACACGAGTTTGAAGCGTGCCACAGCAACCACAATATTTCCACCGAGGGCAACAGGACACCAATCCAATTGTTTTACAGTAATCAACATTTGATACAACTTCATGAAAATCAACAACACACCGAATCTATATCAGCGGAGGAGCTACTTAACCTTAATTTAACATATGTAAATGTATATAGTGTCGGATGCCCCTTAACCCGTGAGCAGCTTGATGAGCTTGAACGTGATTATCCTCATGACAGTGATATGAATGCAAAAGAAATGTATAAATCTGTTGCAGAGTACGTTTCTGAGCATCTGCACTAAATGTATGAATACTCTATTGTAAAATATTCCATTCCTCTCATCATTATGTGTCAATTTAGGCATATGTTTTTAATTAGATATTTGTGCACAATTTTAATGCTTTTGTAAGATGTTTACACTCTGTAATTGGTGTTTATGAATAAATAGTTGAATTAA